ATAAATCTCCCTACACTCGCTAGTCGTAGGGAAATGCTTGGTATAATATTTCTTGTAAAACTCATCAATGGGTCAGTCTGCAGCCCATCTCTCTTGTCTGATATTAGTTTTAACATTCCCGCTCGCTCTACCTTTGCTTACCAATTTCAAGTTAAACGAACCATTCCGCCGTATATGTCACGATTTCAATTCTCATTCCAGCACATTTGATCTAACAGATTCTGTCTTTACCATTAAAAATATATTATTAGATCTCTTAACAAGTAACATTTAAAAATTATAAACTTTAATATAATTCTTAATTTTGGCTGTTGAAATTTTTGTTTCTGTAGCTGAGCAGCTTAAGATCGCTTAAAGCTCTCTTGCCTTTTATGACTCGGCTAATTCCGCTCGTTCGCGGATTGCGCCCCGCGCGTTGGTTGGGCGGGAGGAGGGTAATCGTTAGGTATTATTATTATTATATAGCTGCAATACAAACTGAACGATCGGAATCAAGTTATATGTAAAACATTCACATTTCACAATGTATTTTCACAAAAGTTGGCACAGATTATTTTCTAAAGCAAAAATGTAATATCCAAAGAAATTGTTCAGATCGGTTAACTATAGCATATAGCTGCCATACAAACTGGACACATAGTTACTAACAGAAATGCACCTGTGAAGGATATTTAGCTTCGGTGCAACCGGAGTCAGGTTTCTTCTTGTTTTTTCTTATAAAATATTTCACTTAGGCCTTTATTACGCATTATGATACGCCATTAAAAAATTTTTTAAATACGAATGAACTTAACATCAAATATGTACAGACTTTTTGCTACGTAATTAAAATACATTCCACGAAAATTTTACCTTTTCCTCTAAAGAATCTTACATTCGCGATTTCTATATTTAAACGCACAATTCCGTTCACTTAAATATGTAATTCATTTAAATTGAATACTTATATCGTAATTACATTTACCGTAACGAAAGTTCGCACATTTTAGTGCTTAGCGACACAATACGGACAGACATATTGTTAACATAATAATCATAAATTTCAAAGTTCTCAAAAGTAATTGCTTGCAATTAGCCAACCGTCCACAAGTGGTAGTACTCATTCGCACCCCCACATTTGTAAATAAAATATAATTACGCGTCGAAGCACACATGCATTTTTATTCACAGTGGAGGCTAATATGTTAATATTGAATAATATATAATATAGAAATAACGAAAACTTTTATTATTTAAATAGCAAATAGTTTCAATATATTGAAGAAAAGCTAACTTTGTCTGCACCGCAGCTATGAAACCCTTCCCAGGTGCATTTCTTGCAGCATAAATTGGTATGAAACGATCTTCATCTTGCCTTTGATCAGTTAGTTCGTGTAGAAAAATAGTTGTACGATCTGAACAATTTGTTCGGAAATTGTACCGCAAGCCTTCGGCAATAATCCGTGCCAAATTTCGTCAGACCAACCAGCGGTTTCGATAAGTGAAGAGTTTTATAGCGATATCTCAATGTCTCAGGGACTATTACGCATATTTACAATATTATCAATAAAATATGAAGTATATTTTAGTTCTTGTCCCAATGTTCTGAAATACAAGGTACGTTCCAAAGTAAAGAGGACTTAAAAAAAACAGAACATTTGTTTTTTTCGGCAAAATCAATTTATTTTATTCAAAATAGTCTCTTTCTGCTACAATACTGCTATTTGCACGGTCCAAAAGCATGTCGAACGAGTGTTTTAGCTCGTAGGCCGGTATGGTCGCCAGTATGCCGGTGCAAGCCTTTGTAATGACCTCTACGTCTGCATAACGCTTTTCTTTCACAGCCAAATGCATTTTTCGTACGGTGCCATATCAGGTGAATAAGGGGTGTGGTTAATGGTTAAAATGTGATTTTTGGTCAAATAATCGTTCACAAGCGTCGATCGAATGTTGGATTTTGAGCAAATTTTGGTCGTCAGTCAATTTGTGCTGAACAAACCGTGCACACACCTTTCGTATGCCCAAATGTTGGGTCAAAACGCGATAAATCTATGTTTTGGAAATGTTCAATCCCATTTCCATGAATTTAAATTATGATTTCGACTGATTTTTGATGAATTTACGCACAGTTTCGATGGAATTTCCGGTGATCACGGATTTTCATTGGCCCACATGTTGATCGTCATTTATGTCCTCACGACCACTTTGAAAATGTTGAAACCACTCGTGCACTCTGACACGGGATAGACAATAATCGCCATAAAATTATTTCATGAATTGAAACGTTTTGGTAAAAGTTTTACCAATTTTTAAAGCACCAGTCGACATATAGATGGCGCCACCAGGGGGCGCTAGATTCAAAAGTCCTGTTTACTTTGATAGACATATATACATATACATAAATAGGGCTTCCTTTCTGTTAGATGCTAGGCTTGTTATTATGATGTAAAAAGAGTTCTCTGCAATATTCACGTAGTGTGAAAACGGTTTATCAACCTCACAATTCTGGGTTTAGCATGACTCGCCGTTTGGTATTTTTTGGTGATTATTGGCAACTAAGGTCAATCTTTAACTCGTTAGTGTACTAACCACAACTATTCATACTTACATACGTGTATATAGTATATACAAACTTTAGGTGGGGGTTTCAGTATCTATCTAATACCGAGGTCCAACAATTTAAACAATCTCATTTTGAAGCAAAGGCGACTACCTATCGTGTAACGTTTTCAGTCTACAGCTGGAGAACTGAATCGAGAAGATACAATCTTCTATAAGAGTGTACAACTGCTGATGTACGCAAATGATATTGATATCATTGGCTTCAACAACAGTTGACAGTAATAACTTCGAAGTCGTAGAAATTGCTATCTATCTTGGAACCAGCACTAACACCAACAACAATGTCAGCCTCGAAATCAAACGCAGAATAATTCTTGCAAGCAGGTGCTACTTCGAACTGAATAGGCAATTGAGAAAAAAAGTCCTCTCTCGATCTCCACTCCGTTGGAAAAGGTGGAGAAGATCCTGGCTACATTTGGGATCTTCAATTATATATATTATAACCGCGTAAGCTGTGTCTGCGCCAGTAAAGAAGAATAAGTTTCGTTTCAAGTGATTCATAACCTTTTATAGAGTTACAAGTGTGATACCGCAAGTCAGTATTTCGAAGCGCCAATATTTCCGACCGTAAATAGTTCGGTCACGTTCAAAATAACTTGTTAACGTCATATTGTTGTACTCATATAAGTACATACTATATATAAGGATAAAGATTATCAGCCAAGATTTTACGTGTGCATGGGTTTAATTAATTGTAATAGAAACAGTACAGCAAAAAATAATACTTTTTATTGACCATTACTGTATATGTACATATGGTGAGCGGTCTGAAAATCGATTTAAATTGTTTATATTTAAATAATGATGGTGGAAAAATTTTCTTAAAATTATTTCCATGTGTGTGTCTTCTACTTTGCACAGTTTAATTACAAAATGCAAGCAGATTGAGGGAGCCTACATTTCAGTATAAACCAAGTAGGACAAAGACTTTTCTTTCTATTATCTCTCCAACTAATAACTGTTGTTATCGAGGCCAAAATTCATATACAGTTGCAACAAGGGTCATCAACTTGTACTGAAGAAAGCGAAGATTTTCCTTTTAGCCGGGAAGTTAATGACTACCGTTTCGGAGATTTACAAGGGACTGAGCTTAGACGTTTGCCTGAGGCTGGTTAAAATGGTGACATAGCTCTCTTATTTCGAACGTAGGGCACTCGCCGGTTAGAAATATGAATCACATATGGAAGTTATCATCGGAGTTGCGTTAAGTCAAGTGTACCGAAATTGTTGCAAAATTTTCGATTTATCTTTAGATTATCGGAGCTTCCGCGCATATTATGTCTAATTAGTTCTTAAGTTTCCTTTTTTGAATAGGGTATATTCTCCAGTGTCGGTAATGTGAACATTTATTCGAAAATAAATCTAACTATGTCATTAGGTTATAATTCACCCTTGTGCGTCTTCTACCATATAATGCTGGAGAAAGTGATACGTTCGACTAAACTGAACCCCAGTGGCATTGTCTTTTCCAACCTAGAAAAAGAAGCGAAAGAGGTTGGCCTTGTGGTGAACCCAACCCGAAGGCCACACACCAATGTTCCTCGCATCTTGGGAACTACTGTTGACAGCTATACATTTTAAACATTTAAAGCCTTTGTATTCTTCGGGACCAGCAAAAATACCACTAATAATCTAAGTCTGGGGACAAAGTGCAAAACAACTTTTGCCAATATGTACTACTTTGTGATCGATAAAAAAAATGAGAACCCGTTGCCTTTCTCGACGAAAAAATATTAGGTTGTCAAAAAAGTATTGCGGTATTTTCGCTAGTTGGCACTGAGAGCGCGTAGTTCTAGTTTTATTCGTCGCATCGGGTTATGCTATACCTTTTTGGAAAGCTCATTTCGCCGCAAACATGGAGCAAAATAAATATTTTACAGTACTACTACGATAAAGGGAAAAATGCATCTCAAGCCGCCAATAAAATTTGTGCGATTGGTCGAAAGAGACCGGCATAGTAGCAGCCGCAAGACAACCTAATATTACGCCCTATAAGTCTTCAATTTTTTCCGTCTTATTATGCGGCACAGGAACATGGAATATGACGAACCGACGTACTTGAAGCATTCGAGAGAATTGTTCTGCGCAAGATTTTTGGAGCCGTTCTCTTGAGCGATGAATACCGAGAAAACGGACAGAGGCAACTGGTGAAGTGTTGTGTTCTCGGCCAAGGGAATATTATGCGAATTGAGATATGGATCAGGATCAGACAAAAAAATTTCTCAATATGTTTTTCGAATCACTTTGGAATTGGAGTTCTGGACGTTGATGCTAAGACGCCTTTGGAAATTACTTCGTTTACTTTTCTTTTGAAACAGAAATGATCAACTATAAAGCGTAATATATTTTAATAATCATAATAATCTTTAATTTTCACAAAATAGAAAACTTATACTTGAAGCATGGTCCCGACGAAACACAGAACGTTCCGTACTGCTTTAATATTGGACAGGCCAACAAGTTTTTACTTTTAGGAAGGCACAACTAAGTAATAAAGTACGAATCTCTCACTTAGAAACTAGATGAGGTAAGATCTCCAGAATGCATAGCAAGCGCTGATAATTATGAAACGTTACAATATTTCTTATGTGAATAGTTAGTCTTCAGGCGGTTGAGAAATACTATATGTAATTTTCACCGCTTTCGTTATAGTATTCAAATTTAAAAGAAATTGGAGAAGCTAATGTGGGCATTTCATGAAATGGAGATGATGATAAACACCAAGGACTCACTGGGAAAATAATAATGCTACCTTAAAAAGTAAGGCAATCATTCGAATTTCCCTTTTAATCAACCAATTAAAGATCCACTTTTACCAGCACTGTCACTGTCGATAAGGCTATTCTATCACCTTCGGTTACGCGTATTTGAAATGCCTCCAACAACTACTCCAGCACACCTCTATTAGCCTTCTTTAAATCATACGTTTTATTCGTATACTCTTTGCAGTTTGGCATAGAAAATGTATTTATTTCAATATTGATACAATTTTCTTTAATACTTTTCGCTTTTACTTTGTTTACAACAATTAAATTTGTTCGCAAGATTGTGTTAAAATTCCGCAACAGCCCACAAATAAGATTTCTGAAATGTGTTTCGAATACGTGGAAGATCTTCAAGTAAACACTAAAATCAATTTGAATAATAAATGTTGTTGTTTTTGCATTTTTGTTTGGTTTTGTATTTGAATAAGTGTGTACACACGCCAGAACCAAATATAAATACATATATAGTATGTATAGTTAGCTATGCATGAAGGTATGTATTTGCATAAGTAGGCGTGCGATTATTTACGAAATAAACAATTAATGCTTTTAAAGTAAATGTAATTTTAGAAAACGCAAAAATTAGCCGCAATTACCGTGATTTCCACTAAATCATATTTAATCAATTGATTAAACATTTGTTTATTTGCTATTTGTTTAGAGATCACTTGACTAAAAATAATGTATTTTTTCTTTTGGGCTCATTCACCATTTTCGAAAATGGTTTAATTTGGTTAGTGGTTATGGTTGGTGAGAGCACTTAGCGAAGGAACGATGCATAACCGTTTCCATACAAGAGCTTGACTGTGATCCTTTTGTTTCGTAATTTGCATGTATACATACTAACATATTAACACCGTGCCACTCATAAGACGTACGGAAAGGATGAACGATCACACAAGATTTTTAGTTAGTTTTGTCAATGCGGCTTTAAGAAACTCATAGAAAGTTTAACAAATATCTCTGGTAGCGCTGTCGTCTAATTAGCGCGCGATTCAACCGAAAGTGGATACCCTACAAGCAAAGTTTAGTTTATAGACAGTAAAAGAAATGAAGCATCTCGTAAGGATATAACTGACCTTCGGACTCTTTTCTTTCTTCAAAATACCCTGTCTATGTTAAAAGAGGTAAATTTGTATGAGGATAAAACTTGAAGTGAAATGAAAAGACCGATAGTTAAAGGACAATAAAGTGAAATGTTAAAAAATAAAATAATTAAATGTCCAAAGGAATGGTTCAGCAGAGCAAGGCTAATGAAACTACAGAGAACTAGTTTAAATTGTGGAAGCTTTTCTACACACATAATTGAAATTACAAAGTGGCAAAGAAAAAAGCAAATTTTGCAAAGAAATTTAGGTAAGAAGAGCTTAAAGAATGAAATGAAAATGTCATGTTAAGCATTTAAATGGGAAGTTTTTATACAAATTGATATTTTAGAATTGAAATTGTTATTGTAAGTTTTTTAAGTAACTTTGATTTTGGAACAAACGCCCAAAACAGTTTGTTACCGACGAAAGCGTCCATAAGATCCAAAAATTAATTTTGGATGACAGTAAAGGGAAGTTTTTTCGAGATGGTAGGCACTCAGAAGATACCATATCAACTAAACGTGTACATTCACGTCATTCACGAATATTTGGCTATGAGAAGCCTCTGTGTAAAATAGCTTGTGACAAACAACAACGACGACACAATGTTTTGAGATATTCAAACTCGAGTTTTTGTGTCGTGATATATATGTGTGAATGAAACTTGGGCTCCATCATTTCACTCCGAAGTCCAATCGACAGTCAACAGAGTTGACTGCACACGATGAACTCGCTTCAAAGCGTGGATAAACACAACAGCCGGCAGCAAGGTTATGGTCTGTATTTTAGGATGCGCATGGAATAAATTTTATTGACCACTTTAAAAAGGAAGGCCCATCAACACCCACTAATACATAGCGTTATTGGACCATTTGAAGGGTAAAATCTCCGAAAATCACCCGCATTCTAGAAGAGAATGCACCGTGTCACAAGTCAGTGAAAACGATAGCAAAAATCCACGAATTAGGTTTCGAATTGCTTTTCCATTCATCTTATTTTCAAGATCAGACACGCATTGATCATTTCTTGCTCTCAGATCTCAAAAGAATGCTCGCTGGGAAGAAATTTCCGTTGAATAAAGAGATGATCGACTAAAATGAGGATTTTTTTGAAGCAAAGGACAAATCATACGACAAGAATGGTGTCAAAAAGTGGGAGGGTCGCTATGACTAATATATCGCTCTTGAAGGGCTCAACTGTGCTGAGTTTAAAAAACGAAGTTTACCAAAACATTGAAAGTAACGGCGATGCAAATAAGCTAACTTCATTGAATGTCATTATGGTATATTTTTTTGCCATATTCTGAAAAAAACTGGTGTTATATCAACTATCTATTAACAATTCGGAACCAGCCTTGCATATGGCACAAGTACTTCAAACCGAAATCATCGTTTTTTGAAGACCGACTAGAAAGACTATATCTAAGGATCTCCTAATCAAGAGAGAAGCAATATTAAATGATGCAGAAATTAGCAGAATGGGGCACATCAAATGCGATTTTTATTATTTTTATTATTTATTTATTTTTAAAAATACACTGTAAAATTGTTGAAAAAAAAACTGATATTTTTCGAGCTACAATCGATCTCGAATCCTTAAGATTCATTCATAACATTTTACTTGCATGGAGATAACCTATTGGAATATGGAAAGATGTATTTTTTTGTAATTGTACACTAGGTGTGCCGCTTAAAGACTGTAATTAAACTATATTCAAAATTCTTCTACAAAAAATTCAACAAATTCGTCTTAATTTTGCTGGAGTGTTTTATTGGTGTGGCACAAAGCATTCAGTGAAGGTTGTGAAGTCATCGATAACTTTTCTCATGCGATGACTCGATCAACATCTCTTAATGACGACAACGTAAAAGTATAGTGTTGGAATCAGAGAGACACAAGCTAAATGACAAGTGGAGGTGGTACCAATTAAAGAAGGGTATTTCAATATATACACATAATATTACTTATACGTCATGCTGCACAAATATCCTTTCTGCTTTTTCTAAATTATCAAATAGTCTTAATATGTTATATTTCCTATACTTTTCTGCTTTTTTGTTAAGATATAAGTAATGCTCAAAAGAATGTTGGTGGAGACATTTATCTAATCACAAACATGTAATTTACTTTAGTACAATGTTTAGCCGAAAAAAGTGTTTTAAGCCGTTTCTGCGTGACTGATTTAGAGACTCCAGAAATAGACTTTATTCATACCAGAAATCTAAACAAATACAATATTTTACATTTTGTAGCGAAAAGTGATTGCTATTAAAAATCGTCTATACTTGTTCTAAATGCCTATACTTAAATAGTTATCACTTTGCTAATTATATTAATAAATAATTTCTAACTGCATATTCAGTAATTGTGAATTATAAGTACTTATGAAATTATTTCACACTTTTTACATAAATATGAAATTATATATGGCAGCGGATTCTACCTGCTTTTTCACATGCAAGACGATTGCTATTTTTTGTTGTTTGCTGAACTGTTAATTAATCGTTTGCTCGCAGGTAATTCACATTCACATTAACCTATTAATAATTAGCATATGCTAATCTGTGTCAGTTGTTCTATTAAAATTAAAACGAGAGTGAATCACATACGAAAATATTAAAAGAAGGAGTGTACAAAAATCATGTATTTATACCTAAATTTATACAAGGTGTCGCAAAACTAACCTTCCGATGTTTTTTGGCTGTAATTTTATTTTTTTTTAATTAAAATCTTTGATTCTGTTTGTGGAATATTTTTAATTAGTCTTTTAAATTTCTTTACATCAAGTCGAAAATATGATATCATGATTGATTGCCATTTGAGCCTTTTTTATGGCATTTTCCATCACTTTGGCCAGAACTAGGTCCTCACATTCTTGACGGATATTGTCTTTAGGAGCTGCAAGAGTCTGAGGCTTGTTGACATAAGCCCGCGACTTCAAAAAGCCTCACAAAAGGAAGTCTGGAGTGGTCAAATCAGGTGATCTTGCTGGTCAGTGCAAATCGCCAAAACGGGAGATTAGGCGCTCGGGAAATGCATCCTTTAGCATATCGGTTGTGGCACATGTAGTGTGTACTGTTGCACCGTCCTGTTGGAACCACATGTTTTCCAATCCCAATTCATCAAGTTGCGGCAAAAAGAACTAGTTGATCATTGCTCTGTAGCGCTCACCACTCACAGTAACCGTTTGGCCTGCGACGTCCTCGAAGAAAAAAGGTCCAATGACTCCTCCAGCGAAAACAGCACACCATACAGTGACTTTGAGCGAGTGTAATGGCTTTTCGTGGGTTACACGCGGATTTCCAGTGCCCCAGAAGTGTGAATTTTGCTTATTTACGTACCCACTAAAGCGGAAATGACCTTCATCACTCATGATTATTATACTCTCGCAACAAAGTTGCTAGGGAGAGTATTATAGTTTTGTTCACATAACGGTTGTTTGTAAGTCATAAAACTAAAAGACTCAGATATAGGGTTATATATACCAAAGTGATCAGGGTGGCGAGTTGAATTGAAATCCGGATGTCTGTCTGTCCGTCCGTCTGTCCATGCAAGCCGTAACTTGAATAAAAATTGAGATACCAATGGCGAAAACCGAAAACCTATAAAGTATCATAACTAAGTCATAACTAAAGCTATTACAGTGAAATTTGGCACAAAGGATCACATTAGGGAGGGGCATATTTGGACGTAACTTTTTTTGAAAAGCGGGCGTGGCCCCCCTACTAAGTTTTTTGTACATATCTTAGAAACTACTATAGCTATGCCAACCAAACTCTATAGAGTGGTTTCCTTCAGGCATTTTCATATACCGTTCAAAATTGGAAGAAATCGGATAATATCCACGCCCGCCTCCCATACAAAGATTATGTTGAAAATCACTAAAAGTGCGTTAACCGACTAACAAAAAACTTTAGAAACACTAAATTTTACGGAAGAAATGGCAGAAGGAAGCTGCACCCAGGCTTGTTTTTAAAATTCAAAATGGGCGTGGCGTCGCCCATTTATGGACAAAAACCATATCTCAGGAACTACTCAACCGATTTCAATGAAATTCGGTATATAATATTTTCTTAACACCGTGATGACATGTACGAAATATGGGTGAAATCGGTTCACAACCATGCCTTCTTCCAATATAACGCTATTTTGAATTCCATCTGATGCTTTCTCTGTATAATATATACATTAGGAACAAAATATGATAGCGGAATAAAACTTTACACAAATACGGTATTTGAGCTGAGGTATCCCTTGTGGA